ATGAAAAAAAAAAATTAATTAAAATTTAAAGGTGTAATATAATGAATTTTATTTTTTTTTTATTTATTCAGAATCAAAATAATTTTGTATCATGGCTACTTATACCAATACCAGTCATTTTGACTGGTACTTCTTAAAGTGGAAAAGTATCCTATAATCTGTTTACCGAACCCGAAATCGTTTATTAGATATTTAGATAGATTTATCGATGTTTTGTTATGAAAATTTATCGCACACCATGTCTTATCTGCCGCCACAACATAAATATAACAAACAACCGCGACATAACATAACAGAGTCATCGGTGTCGTTTCACGCAGTCATTCTTTCATATATCCATTATACCATAGTCGTTGGAATAGGACTTAATTCTTTAATTATTATAATTATATTATTATAGTTGTCATTATATGTATAGTAATTCATGTTGTTTTTAAAGCGTGGTTGAGAAACATCAGATTTTTTTTAGAAACACATCTTCATTGTCTACTGTGTAGTACATTATGCACCTAACCTCTTTTAATTTCTCATTTTATGATAATAACCATTTCGGCTACAGCTTACTTATTAAAGTAAATCGGATTGTGTGGGTAGTAGGGTTCACAGCTTGCAAAGAGAGGAGAAAAGCGGCGACGCCGACAATCGTGTTTGTAGGGGAAAGCATTATATGGGACGAAGGAACCTTGTGCATATCCAACTTGAAAGCATAGAGAAACTGTTACACTTTTTTATCCTTGGGATAAAGTTTCCCAAGGAAGCTTTCTCTATTTTATACACGGTCTTTCTTCATCGCGGAAACCTCGAGAGAAAAGAAGTTTAATATCTGGAATTTCTGGTTTGTTTCACTTAATTAATTCTCTTATGAGCGTCGATGCTTTGTTCTTAAAATTCTTCCTGAAATTTCACATATAGACTATGCAGACACATCGAACTCATTGAAAAAGTACAAATTTTCTTAGTTCAACAAATAAACATCTTATAAACATAGAACTTTAACCTTTTCAGATATATGTACTAACTTGTGTTATAATAACTTTTTTTCAACAGAAAAAACATTGAACAATAAATTCCATGTGTAATTTTCCCTTGAAATTATACCCTGTAAAAACTGTACTTAATACACGTGAATGAAAATTATCAAACTGCCAATGTTGCGTGAATATTTTTGCAAATACAATGAACCTAGAACCTATGAAAGGTTGCACGTTTCCTACTATATAATTACTTTTTTAACTATTATATAAATGTCCAGTTCTTTTTAGTTATTTCAATATTCTTAATCGAAATGTAATTTTAATCGTGGAATTATGCATAGTATTTCGATTAATTATAATAATACACATTACCGATCTATACAATTTGTCACTATGATTAAGTAACACTTGGAATATTCACAATAATTTATTTGAAATGTTAAATTATTAGGAAAACGAAATCCTTGTGTTTTGTTAATAATATCAATGTTACATTATCTCAACTAATAAATAGGTCATTCGAAAATTGGATAATATTATTCAATATGTTATATGCAGCCATAAACATAAACGACATATAAATGGAGAACGAAAACGGATCTACCACTCGTATGTACGATATCCTCGTGAAACTGAATTACGTGATCATTACAACAAGAAAATGAACCACGTTTGCAGCGAATAATGATGTTACTTAACGTGCCCTCAGCTCACAGTCCGATATCAGTGCTACGTGTAGCTACGTATACCATCTGTATATCAACTCATAACAAAGGACATAATTTATCAATGCACAGAAGAGATCGATAGTCTCGTTGATTGACACGTGGAATCGATAATAACTTGACGAGACTCGTAAAACTGAGCAATCTTATAGTTACAAATCAATATGTTTTTTTTTTACCTTTCTAACGTTCTGAAACAAAATTTCGTGCTAAATACAACCCATTGATAAAAAGAGCATACTTTCAAAACTCGTGATTTAAAAAGAGAGAGCATCTCCTTCTTTGGAATCGCGGTCGTTTCGACACTTATGAGAAGAATTTACAAATTGTATCTTGAGTTTTTTGATGAATTTTTTGAAAGTAGTAAGAAGCACCTCACCCTCGTTTTCGAGAAACTATTTGTTACAATTGCAAAAATTCTAATCGATACGTGTCAACCTTGCAACTTAGTTAAATAGATAGCCACAGTGTGACACCTTAGCCATACACAAAGCGAGTATTCCAGGTTGCAAACATTTGTTAGTGTCTCTTACTCGCTCGAATTCTAATTCACAAGAGCCATGTGAGCTGCGTCGATGCAACAATGTGTCGAATTACGTTGCTATCGGGTGGGTAACTAACATTCCGGCTTTCATGCTAAAGAGTTGCATAGAAAATCTCGGTGTGCCATAGATGTTATTTTCGAAACGGAGATTAACTTTACACGGTATAAACGGTAGGGTTGCCGTGTCAACAATGTATTATTAAATTCTGGGAAAACCCTTGTTGAGCATATCCTCTAACCGTCAAATTGCTTGAACGAAATTAACATAGACAAAGAATCAATAATGCAGAAAACGACGGAAAGATAAATAAAATATTAATATGTTAGATTTTTAAATCAACATTAATTTACCGTTAATAAGAAAAGTTAAATGTTTCAGTATTATCATTGAATGTGTGTAATGTGGATTCCTGTCACGTAAAATGTTAATTAGGTGGATTTTTAAATCAACATTAATTTACCGTTAATAAGAAAAGTTAAATGTTTCAGTATTATCATTGAATTGTGTGTAATGTGGATTCCTGTCACGTAAAATGTTAATTAGGTGGGGGATGCCACAGGGGTTGATTTTTACAGCAAATCGTGTAACGGGACAATTTCGAGTTATCCACCGAGAATTATAAGGGTGTATGTCGTACACCAACTGCATCATAGATGGTGTTCGATTCGAGCTGCAAATTTTCATCTGGGACTCGTGACTGCTGTAACAAACACCACGTGTACTCGGCACACGGCAGCACACGGTGCATTCTGATTGATTCTGATGTAGTGTTAGGACGAAGTTAAGGTCAAGGGTAAAGACGGTGAGTGAGCATAAACACTACAAACGTTATTTTTTGATGATACGCAAAACACGTACGGTTAAGTTTGTTAGTAGTTCTGACGATAATTCTAACCCATTGCATTGGGCAGACACAAGTTGTGACTCACAACATTAAATCTGAAGTGAAAAGGACAACAATCGATCTTCAACAATTAAGGAAATAAAGACAATTATAAGAAACAATTGGATAGAATGAAAAATTAATTGAATAAAATAGTAAATCGTGTAAAATATCGAATATATAAATATTATTAATTTTAATTTTGGTATTAATGTTTTTTTGAAGCACAGTATCCTTGAAATTGTTTTAGTTTTAAAAATGTCCGAATCTAAAAATGTTGAATGGTGGGAAACTGTTTACCGGAATCAAAATCGCTGCAAACTATGCGGTGTTATACACACAACAAACCACACGTGTCTATGCGACAGATACCGGAGAAGTCACAGCAAAAAGAGAAATTCTGACTCGTTGAATAATCGCAGACAATCCGTTCCGCAAACGACAATGCATTCAAAATCGTGTGAAACTCGATCGATCGGAACGCAAACAGAAACGACCACAATTTTGAAGACATCTGTAACTACGCAGACCGCCGAGAATAATGAAAACGAAACTACGCCAAAAACTACAACAACCAAGCATTTAGTCCAAAGTATATCAGAAAATATCGCTCGTAGTAGATTGTTGTTGTTTCACATCAGTTCTCTTTGTCGTGATGTAAACGTTGGATGTATATTAGATTTTTAGAGACTAAAAAAATGTTACGGTAATTTTTCATTTTAACGTTGTATTTCATAAAATTGTAGTAATCAGAACGGTGAAAATCGTTTTTTATTTTTTTGTATTTCTATTTGTGTTTTACGAAAATTACTAGTTGAATACTACTTCTCTATACATCATTAGAATTTCATCTAAAAAATTCGATAGCTTTACAAGAAATCAATATAGAAAGCAATGTACATATTTATTTTTTATCGATGTGTTTTTTAATTAATACATTACTTTATGTTTGAGTTTAAATAGAGACAACGATGTGAAATATATATCTGAAATTTAATTAGTTTTAATTTAACAAAACTTTTGTTAATATAGTAGACGCTCGATAATTGATTATCTCGGGCCTGTAGGGGGCAAAATTTTCAGGAACGGATCAATTAACGAGCGTCAATTACCCGCGCGCTTTCTCCACCAGTCGCCCGTTCATATGCGCGACGTAGCAATATATAGGGTGTAAAAATATTATTTTCATGTAAATGGATTCTTCTGCGTAACAAAATATTAAGGTATTAGGTGAAAAAGATTAATAATTCGTGAGATATTTTACGTATAATATCTGAAATATATTATGAATTCTTAATTCATTCTCGATTTATAACAAAATTATTTCTGGTATGTCAAGGTCCCTCTATATCATGTAACTTTTGTGAATAATGAAATCAGTAATATGAATAAAATTGTGATGTCCAAAATGATTAATAACTAAATTTCTTCAAGTATCTTATTTATGTATAAAAGTACAGAAAAAAACGGGTTACTGGCTGCAACAAAATACTTTACAAAGTATCCTCTATCTGATCTGTTGAATCCAGGATGTTTGGTATCGAGTCTTGTGGGTCTAGAATGATCTGTAAAATGTCTATCTTGTATAAATCCTACTATTTTGCTTGTCTGACTATAATCACTATATTCAACTTATCTCCACATTACGACCCTAAACTATTTGTTTAGACACAATTAGCAATAGGGGCTACACACTTGTACTGTTTGTTTAACGATGGCTGACCTATTACACTTGTCTCTCCAGTGTTAACCTACTCAACTTACCTGACAATTAGCTGTTTATAATATTCTTAACCGGTGAGTTAAACCCTAAAACACAGTGGTACTTTTTCAAGTTGACTTTCAGTTTGTATTAATTTCTTTACAGCTTCAATATTTATAAATTAAATATATGTATTATTATGTTACAGTAGAATTCCATTTTTAAGGCGTTCTCGACATCTCCCAGCTATCTACAACGTTGCGACTTTAACAAACGAATTGTCGATCCGCAAAGTATGTTTTATTTTAAGAAACACTTCAAGTAACAAAGTTATATGTTCATTTGAATAATTTACGATTCAGTCGAAACATCGTCTCCGTGAAACTTAGATGTATACATCACACAAGATGTTTTCGCTATCGCATTATTACTTTTGGTGTGGTAGCGAAAGCCTTATAGGGAAGTGAAGTATTTTTTAATACCACAAAACGGTGCCAACGATACTGTTAAAAATACGTTTGCTTCTTTTTCGAACGGCAGTGACTGTTCTTGTTCTTGACACGAATCTTTGGCATGAAATCGCCACACGTCGGGAAATTCTTTGGAACCTTCGGTAAATCCTTGTCCTTTCCTACCTTGAAGATCATATTCATACCAACCAGCTGATGGTAAGCCACGTGACAGTGGAATAGCCAGTAACCTTGATCATACGAAAAGATTAATTTCTCGTGACAAACACAATAATGAAAAATGACTTAGTATACAGGGTGAACCACAAAACAAAAATGATCAACTTTGATTATTCTACTGCTTGCTGTTAGATCGAAAATTTTGTTGGCTAATATAACACGATTCAAGGAGAGCTTTAAGATGATTGTACCAAATTTTTTGTCGACCTTTTTTTCCACAGTTTTCAAGGTCACCATCAGTTTTTTGTAGATAAATTTTTTCGCGCCCCTCCTTTAGTATGATAGATACTGAGACGAATTCGGCAAGCATCATAACAAATAATTTTTTGTCTTCTAAACCAAAAAAACAAAAATCCTAAGGTGAACCTTAACCTCTTGCCTTACGATTTTCTTGACGTCCACAATCTTCAAAATCACTTTAGTGTTACTAGTTTCCCAGAAACAGAAGGAAATCTGTACTATTTGCAACTGTACATTTTCTCTGAAATGCTAAATATTAATGCCAGCAGAATAGTATTTCAAGGGGTTAATTAAAACGATGTTCACAATGGTGTCCATCGGCTGCAATACACTCGCGTAAACGGTTAAGAAACGACTGTTTACTTCTATTTATGGCGTCTGCACTGATGATTATTCATGCAAAACAAATTGCGATCTAACAGCTAGCAGTAGAATAATCTAAACTAATCACGTTTCATGGTTCACCCTGTATAATGTCTGCCATATAGCGAATACAAGTAGTTCAACCGTACCTGGATTACTCGCACGGAATCTAAATATCACGTATCCATTATTCGGCACTTGAACAGTATCCTTGCCAACAGGAGAATCAAAGTTTCTCTTTATCTGGTTGTTCCTGTCCATTTCTTTCAGAGCATCAACGGTCATTAAACCAGTCGCGTTTATGAGCGGACCAAAAGGTTGCCCCATGCTTATCACGTTGAACGAATATCCATGCAAATGAAATGGATGATCTACGTTCGGTACCCGAACTGCAATTAAAATAATCGTGATTACTTGTGTATTGTTCATTCTTTTAATACGAAATAGAAGAGATACGTTTAACGGTAAAATTCTGAAATTCTCCATTTCTGACATAACAAATACCCTGTGCCTAAAAAATAACTGTTTACAAACATTTTTATGCCCAAATAGTGTTTAGGACCTAATAGTTCGTTAAAAAAAGGGATAATACATTGGACACCAACTATGGATATTTTATTGCACTAGGTAATATAGACCATTGTTTTCGTTAGAAATGAATATCACATTTTTCAGACATAATGGAATATACCTGTAGATACTCCCGTAATACTTACACTCGTCGACAAGTAAAACTTCGACAACGGCGTTTAACGGAATCTTAACCAAATGCGTACACATGCAAAATGACGCGTTACAATTTTGTGGTAAATTCTCGGCGTCGCAGAATTGATCTTTAGGCAGATCCTTCAGCTGCGAAATCGGTGGCACGGGCGGAAATTCGAAACTTATATTCCCAATCGTGTCAACAACCGACAGGTCCGAGGTGGGAACTGTTTCGCGAGTTAGAAAGAATATTAAACAACATATGTAGTCTGCAAATATCATGATATTCTGAACGATTCGAGTATCCGAATCGGGGCATCGTCTTACCTAAAAACGTTTTGTACGTGTTAGGCTTGAAAATATCTTCCTGCGCGTACAGGACAAAACCTATCGACATAAACAGTTTCATATCTGGTTTGGATTTTAAAATATCCTTATGCACTTCTCTCGCGTTCCTCAAGTCACTGATGCATACTGCATCTGGACGCTGTACAGTGCAATTTGCAATCACTGGATTGAGAACCTAGGAGTTTAAGGAAAAAACTTGTCATGACATAAATCACAGTTTCAGCTATCCAATTAATTACTTACAACACTTCGGGGGAGTGCAATATCGTACTGTGGCTTTGGCGTTGTTGGTGTAGACGACGTATTTGTGTATTGCAATATTGCCAATTGTTGCATTTTCTCAGTTGCACACTCCAACATCCCCCTGAGCTGTATCCAATAGGCACCAGGCTTTTGATTGGTATTTACGACGAAGTCGTATCGTTCTCCTATACAATTTTGTACTACATGTTTATTCTGGATAACATTGGAGAATCGTAAGAATTGTTCAGAAATTATTGCATATACACTGCCGTTCGTAAGTTTTGAGATACTTGGTCCGTTTGAAGGAAATGTGATACTTCATAAAATTTATATATTTTAAGCTACTTTTAGTTTTTTATAGTAGCACAAGTGTTGTCCATCGAGCTTTAACCCGCTAACTGCATTTGTCTACTACAGTAGACGCCTAATACTTCTTGTCGATCGGAAAAATGGTGCCACTGTGACTGCTAGATTGTTATGTATCGTTAAAAAAAAATGTTTTTAATAGTCTTAAAAATGAGTATTGGTCTCAGGTTCTTGAGTATGTGAAAAAAATTTGTTGTACAAGATACCAAAAAGATGCAGTGAGCGGGTTAACGTCACTTAAACTAGAGTTGCGCAACTGATTGCTCACGAGCAGCAGCGGCTCGAACTTCCCCTCCTTGTTTATCCCCCACTATGGACCTCAGATTGACTCGCTCGAGTGTGCCCACCAATAGTCTTTCCGCCATTACTTGATCGAGTCAATCTGAAGACCATAGTGGGGGAACCCAGGACGGGAAATTCGAGCCGCTGCTACTCGTAAGCAATCAGTTACGCAGCTCTGCCTTAGACAATAATTATTTCATTTATTCAACAATTTTTTAATGCTCATTACGTTTACTTTGTACTCGTCAATTGTCTAAATACTTGTGAACGGAAGTGTGAGTCGTACCGGAAAACGAAATGATTGATTCTACTACGACAGGTTTGATCGGCTGGCCGTCCGTTGCGATAACAGTGAGATTGTGACCCTCGATTGAAAACTCTCCGGCGCAGGTGGTGCTGAAAGTGTTCACTAAACGGAACCGATAGCGTTGTTTAGCGTCCACGGTGATCACCTCCAATGGTGTATCCGTCGTAGTGCCATTAGAATCCTATTTAAATCAGTTGCAATCAATTTTTCTTGGGTGCTTCGTTATCTATTTATCCTTCAACAACATGATTACTAACTATCTACATAAGGTATTTCCTAATATGTTGGGCTAACTTCAAAATAGTGCACATTAAATATGTCACCTATTTGACCTTGTTCCCAAGTTATAGCCATTTTTGTACTCCAATAATTCTGCTCTATGAGTCAGTACAGTTCATCCTCTTGGTAAAAGCATTTCATAATTCATTAATCTGTTGTATATTATAAATAGTAATGGATATGAATTCACAGCAAAAAATGGCAGATTATTAATGCCTTTAATTTTGGGAACTTCGTTTATCAAGCGAACCCTGCCGTACCAAATGAATCATCAAACATTTCACCTAAATCCAGTGGCGACGATTCTTTATCGCAAGGTCAAATAGGGCACACGTTTATATGAACACTTTTCATTGTTTTCATGTCCACCACTGAAATGGATACCATGTGTTAGAAAATACCCTATATTAGCCTGTGACAATTTTTATCAAGCTTTGCGTTTTATATTCATATTCGAGCGGCAACGAAAATAATCACGAATTGCAACAGGCAGTAATAATTCATTTTACCAATCGCAATTATTTCATGGAGACAATTATCACGTGTATAATAATGTTATTAAAAACTAATACTCACTGTGTACCTTCCCTTTCCATTGATCAAAAGTGAATCGGGACTCTGACCGATTACACCAGAAATTCGGCGACCAGGAAATCGAGATGAAGCCAGTTCAACCATCCAGTCGTTTATCACAATCAGGTGATTCGCTAGATCGAAATTATACAGGTGGGCGTTCGGTTCGTCCTTCGATGGCTCGCGTATGACAAGACTACCGAAAATGCCATCCGTCTTTTGCAGTCCTGTGTGCGCGTGCCAGAAATGCGTGCCGCCATTATTCCCGTAAAACTGATACCTGCGGGAAAAAAAAATGATTTTTAAACGTGATTTAAATCGCAACGCGTGATTATGTAATTGCTTACCTGAAGGTATTTTTAAAGACTATTGGACACTGCGTTAAGTTCGGAACACCGTCGTAATATTGCGATCCCTTTTGGTACACTCCATGCCAGTGGATCGTCATCGCGTCTTCTTTTACCATATTTAGAACATCGATCACAATGTAATCGCCCAGACAGACTTGTATACTTGGTCCCGGTATCATTCTGTTCACTGTTAACGCCATTCGTTCCACACCGTCACCAGGCACGCATTGACAATTGGCGCAGATAGTGTTGGTGATGTTGGGAGTGCAAAGATTACATGCCCTATGTGAACATTATTACTCACAATTGTGCCTTTTCGAATATTTACCGAAACTATGTAGAGTGGATTCACCAGTAAATGAACACCATATATAGAAACGAATAAATTAAGGTGTTAAAAGAAATAAATGATTAAATATTGATTTTTATTGAATTCCTTGTTTCATATTTAAGCAATTTTTGCACCACTGGTTAGAAATGTTCATTTACTTAATATTGGTCGTTCACTGGTGAAGTCTGTATTTGTTCCTTTTGAATTTAATTAATACAATTTTTCCAATTTTTCAAATTGAATACTATACCTTTTTCAAAGATATAGATTTTAAAAAATCTAGTTTTCATGCGCCAGATGTTCATTAATATTATTGAGATTTAAAATTCGATTTTAATAGTTACAAAATTTCTTTAATTAATAATACCCGAATGAAGAAATATTCGAAACTATGCAATAATCAAAAGCAAAATTCAAAAGTAGAAAATATATTAAGTTTTGTTCTTTAAGATCATAAATATGAAAAAGAGAAAACTACATATATATTTAATGTCGTGTCAGTTTTGTATCTTTCGTCGTTCAAAAATGTTTATCTGGATAAAATTTTTATTCGTAGACAATTGCTGTCATGATAATTCTTGATGGTTGTTAAGACTTGTTGCGTACGTAGACTGAAGAAGTTTATGTAAATACAGATTTCTATGAAGTAACTTATACAGAAACGAAGTCAAATAGAATCACATTTATCTTATCAAGAATTGCATCAGGTTCCAACTGATATGAAAATTCCATTACATTTTATTGAACTGTTCGATGCAGTGAGTTCCAAACAAATGTTAAAAAAATCATGTCATAAGAGTATAAAATTTGTCGCTTACTGGCCGTTAACAGGATAACGTTCGATCACAAATTTGTAATAACAGGTCCTCGGTTTCTGTCCGGCACGGCAGGTACGGGCACACTCGAGGGCAGTCGACAAACGCGAATTATCGAGTAATACGTCGTTAAGACAATTTGTCTTATTAATGAATGCCATACCACTGATCCCGGGTATATAACCAGCTCTGATCCCGCACTGCTTCCCTCCATTCTTAGCTAAAACTAAAATTAACAGAATACATTAAAAAACTTCAAAAATAATTTCCCGAAATTTGCTTGGATCAGAACTTTTTAAGAAAACTACTTGTTAAAGATATTTAATAACTTGATTTTGTTGTAAAAACAAAAAAACAGTCGCGTGTTGTTCGAAAATCACTAGTGCACCAGATCAGCCAAATATTCAACTTTTATCGCGACCACATGCTGTTTTTAATATTAAAAGAAACTGTCGGGTGATTTAAAAAAACCACACACACACACAGCTGTACACTTTTATCACCGTAACAACTGACGAACTATTCCAAAACAGCAAGAATGAATGAAAGAATAAAATGTTCTTTCATGGGAAGAAGATTTCGTACCGGAAAGAATGAAAACGGAGCAAAGTAATAGGTCCCGGTAGACCTGCATCGTGATGACACCCATGCACCAACCGGCATCTTAACGTTGTGCTTATATATAGTAGTTGCAATGTTTTCAGACTTTTACTTCCATGAACGAGCAAATATCGCCCACGTGCGTTATCGGTAACGTTAATCGCTCCTCCGATGCAAAATTTCATTTGCATCACCTACGGTTGCTATCATGCGTGCACAACAACAGCTACCGTGGTACGCTACGTCCTGTTTGCCCAGTTTTCGAATCTGTTGTTTTTTAGAGTAGAAATGTGTCATTACTTGGGAAATTCAGTCAATAGAGAAATTTTGTTGAACATTTAACTTAACTTTTTTGTACAATAATAATGACAATAATAGTGCCTTTATTATCTTCCTTGAACAAAGATCTTATGATTAGACTGCGAATTTTTATGCAGAATAAAATTTTATAAAGTAATTCTTGAATACAAGAACAAAAGTAGGAATTTCTATCTTCTCTTAAGTATGTTATTGAGTTAAGAATAAAATAAAAAAAGAATAAAGTCTATAAATGCATAGAATCAACAGTCTACTTATGATTTTCTGAAAGTTCTGATTGTTAGGCTCAGTGAATACATTTCCGAGCGTGCACTTCCGAGAATGCATTTCCGAAGTTTGAAATTTTCAGAAAAAAAAAAACAGGTGAACAAATATTATCACGGTTCCACGTATCCAGATTGCAGTGAAGCATACATTAAGCAGACGGTATATAAATTTATAGCATCGAAATAAATATTTGGACGTTAAACAAGCATCTTCTGAATAGATATAGGCGACAATAATGTTCAGAGTATTCTAATCATCTAGAATATATGTAACAATTTACATAGTATAGATAGTATCAAGTATATTTACTAATCATTTTTTCTATATTATTAACAAAGAAAATAGTCCGCTGTCTAGATACCCTAAGGTTAAGTACTGTTGCTCATGTTCCAATTGCAAAGTATCTATGTAAAATTTCCTAACGTTTTAATAATATTTTGATCCATATAGAATAATAAAATTACAAGTATGTAATATTCCCTTGCAATTGTATGTAGTAAATCTCTCATAAATAAGAAGTCATTCTCTCATAAATAAGAAAAAGACCAAGAAATATCCGATTTAAACATGTATTAGAAAATCGCTGCGTTGACCCAAAATATCTTTCAACATTTCTCACACACAGAAGACAGACTCTCAAAACGCACAGTCAATACTGACATTAAGCTACCAGTATTTTTACGTATATTCGCATTTCCTGGTTGCACGTGTTTTAGCATTCTGAGAAACTGAGATTACGTTACTTGCTATCAAGAGATAAGTGACGCCTCTAAGCGTTACTGTACTGATTTTAATTTTATCTGTCGGATTCTAAGACTACTTGATCAATTTTTGATAGATTTATGTTTATATAATACTTTGTATTAGCACAGTACAATGGTAATGCTTGATGAAATTTCTTGATGTGGAAGTAAGAATTATATATTGTTATACATATTGAAAGATATATTAATGAAATATTATACGACTACCTCAGTTTACTTGAAGACATTTTTTGTAAAACACACACCCTTGGAATCCTGTTGACTTGCGTAACAATGAAAACTTTTGCAGCACTATTTACCTGCGTTTATCTGTACGAATGAAAATTAAATTCTCGAGAATTTCTATGGTATGTTTGTTTAAATTGAACCTTTGTGCACTTGGCATTTCGCATTTTTTATGTACAATATAATATGAAATCATTTATCATTGATAATAGCGTCAATGGGGGGGGGGGGGCTATCATAAATGTTTGTTGAAAAAATTATAGGACTCCATTTAGAAAAATGTGTTCGCTCCATCAACGGTTTTATGAGTTTTCGAACAAAATAAAACGTCCGATAAAATTCACTTTTTACCGTTTGAAAGTTCAATTGAATATCTATTAGATCGAAATCAGCCACCGTATAGATTTAAACATAAATTTCTTGGACAACACATTGACCGCAAGATAGGTAACGATATTCTTTATCATTCTGGTGAAACTGATTCGTATAAATGTATTGAAGATACAAGTCTATATAGATTAGCGAAACAGTATCGGACGTTCAGTTTATATCATCATGTATACGCTGTCTGTACTTTTAATCCTCGGTTCGATCATCAGCGTCCATGGTAATTTTTTTTTTTTGATATATCGTGGATCAGTGACATACATTTGATAGATTTGTCCTTTCGTGTTTTGCGATTTGAAAACTTTTTCTATCGTCCACTGTCAGAAGAAACGTCCACTTCCGGTGTTCTTCTAAAAGTATCCAACTTTAGCTTACCCATGAAATTTGAAAACGTTCTAGGTACGATTCGTAAAAGTATCTCTATTGGTGCATTATTATAGGAACGTTGGACACTCGAATCGTTGGAGGAAAGGACGCCGACATCGGAAAATATACTTTCCAAGTGGCCATAAGACAAGACAAGAGCTTCATATGCGGAGGATCCATTATTACGAATCGGTTTATTCTTACTGCTGCTCACTGCGTTTACCTGTAAGTCTGATTTAAATACTGAACTTATTATTGGGTCGTTTGAAAAATTCGTAATGTTTCGAGCAATGTCTTCCTTATCATTTTACTGGACGAATGAAAAATTGTATGATCTGGTGAACAAGTAGTAATATTTCAGTTGTGGATTGAATGTGTATTTACTGCACAAGTTAACACGTCGTTTTTTTTTTTGTTTTCTGTGAGAAATACCGCCAAAACGTACGAACAAGCACAAAATCCATTTTCATTACGTTCTATTAAACTTGTAAAAAAATTACACTGCTTGGACGAGAAAATTGTATAGCATCCATCCAATTAATAAGACTTCGACTAAGAATATTCTGTATAAAAGAAATGTCGAAAACTAAATCTATTTCTAAACAGGTTGAAGAGTTATTTTAGTCAAAACGATCAACAATCGAAATTATTACTGTATCTTCAGTTGTATTTGGGGTTTCAAACAATGTGCTTTTCGTCGCTATGTATTCTTGGTTCTGTTCAATGTAACATGTATTACAAGAAATCTGAGTGTGTTGATATTTTTCCATCCACTCTATACTTATCATTATATTAAATATTCGCGTAAAGTAGAATAAAGGGTACATTTAATTGTTAATTTAGAATTCAACGCAACAATTATCTCAAATAATGAGACGAAAGTCTGTGTATAAATATTCGAAAGGTGACATCCAAGCGTTTGTGTAGAGAAATGCAAATAGATGAACACGTTATAGCGTATGAGGAAATTGCGACTTGTAGAAATATAACCGATTTTTGTATTTAATTGCACTGTTGAACTCGCTAAAGGTACACTACCAGCGTGTTCTTATCGTAAAATACTTGTTTGCTTACGATAAAAAGTAAATCATGTTCAGTGGCTTTATCTTTCATAATTTCCCAGAACTTTGTCGTTCGACATAATTCGATTGAACCGCGTTGACACCAACAAAACATGGGTGATCACGATACAAATTATTCTTCTACGTATAATTCTTAAACGAAACTTGAACAAATCATTGCGAAGTAAATTATTTCAGTAGCGCTAATGGTATAAAATGTAATAAACTTCTTTATCGAATATGCTTGGAATTAATCACGTTTTATTAGAACAATACTACAAATAAATAATAACCCCTGCCTTGTTATAAAAAACAGGATGTACTTTAATTGTACAATATGTATTATATTTATAAAAATCATTCTATATTCAATTATTTATGTTCAGTAATACTCTCGGTTGAAATCTAATTTTTCGATATAAAAATTATTCTAATTGACAGGGTCGTTCTTCTATAGCAATAAACATAACAATGAAACATCACGTCTTGGTTTCATTCATTTGACTTTACTTCATTCATAAATTTAAACATGTTATCGATCGACAGCGTGTATCAGCTGGGAATTGATTGTTGTAAGTATATTGCCGGTATTTTCAACAATTCGATAACTCGGAAACCAAGCCTCGAACGCGATTTCGTAATTCTTGATTATCGTCTTACAATCACTTTAACACGTTGAATTCATCCTGTGAAAGCTGTCCCATATTTTTATTAACACCCTGTATAAAAACACACTCGTCTGTCAATCAACGTGTTAAAATCACTGTTTCTTTAACATTTTCTTAACCCTCTTACGGTGTTTGACGAGTACACTCGTCATAATAAAATGACTACTTTTTGAGTAATGACGAGTATATTCGTCATTTGAACAAAGAAACTACCTTTTGCTGTAGAAAATAAAACGTTAGTAAAAATTGAAAAATACATTTATTTTATTAGAACAAAGGAATCGAATGGTGTAAAGATTTCATACTATATGAATACAAAGTGAGATGTAATATAAGTGATTTTAATTACCACTGTTACACGGTTCGTTCCTTGTTTTACCATGCATTCGTTACAGGCAAATCACACAGACCATCGACGTGATTGTTGGAACCAATCGTTTGCTCGAACCCGGGAGTATTTATGCAGCGCAGCAACTGATCTGGCATCCGGATTACAATTCCGAAGAGCTCATCAATGACGTCGCTTTAATAATGGTAAAAGGAAATATTACATTCAGCAAGACCGTTCAGCCAGTCAACCTTGCGCCCGTGTATTACATCGCTCCGGGTGAAATCGCCGTTGCCATTGGCTGGGGGAAACTTTCAGTAAGTGCAGTTCTAGTCACTTCAGAATACAAACGATTTCATTCGAATGTTTCTCAACTAGACCAGAACAATTTTTGGTCAGATAGCAATGATTATTAATTACTAATCCTCAAAAAGCATTTTCTTCTGAAGAAATACGGTGTTCAGAAGAAACATACAATATGTACTCACTATGGAAACATTTCGTAGTGAACGAAACGGCTTCCTTCATTTTGGATTTTATTTCGAGAAAGACAGAATGTTGAAAGAAATATGGCGAATCGTAAAGCTGTACGGTACATTTCAATCAGACAGCCGCTCCTTCCGCCATCTTGAACAAGGACTATTATGTAATGTGTCTAGAATTTGTATAAACAGTAGAAACATCGACGTTTCTCTTCGAAAGAGAATTCGTTCAAATAATATCGAACCATCGATGTTTCACAATAAAGTATCGTTTTATTTTAAGGTCGATCGCGTTTGGTGCAAAACGTGCATGTGTTCGAAATCACATAAAACAATGCTTAATTGATAGCAGTCTTTTAAAAAAATTAACTCTTAAAGGATCTAACAGACATATTATAGAATGAATGTTATGATTTAATAGTGACGTGTTTCTTGCAGGAAAAAGGGAACATTCCGAACGCGCTACAAGAAATTCACTTAAAGGTGACAACACAGGATCTGTGCCGACGTATGTGGGCCGTGGCGGAAACTCAAATCTGTACGCTCGCAAAGGAAGGGGAGGGTGTTTGCAACGTAAGTACTATATTTCGTAAAATTCTTGACCGAATTGTTATAAAGACCACGCTTGGACATCTCTAGAACTACAGAAACAAGGACAAAAATTTTAAAAATAAACAGATTAAAAAATTGAAACATTAAAAAGAGTCGTTTAAGATGAAGAGGCCACCATGTTGTAACGATTTTCCATAGATACAGACCCTCTTAAGATAATTGTTATTGGTTCATTGTAATGATCTTTTCTTTATCAATATACAGCTTGTTAATAAAAATGTAGGACACTTTCATAGGGTGGATTTTACAGGCGAAAACTAAGACAAAAATTAAAAATGACGAGATTGCGTTCGAGGCTTCGTTTACGAGATATTAATTTTACGAAATACGCGTAAAATATGTCTGACGCGACGGGGACACATTCTACTTGAGAACTGTTCCACGAGTTGATTCCACTCATTTCAATTCACATAATTAGTGTCCTATACTTTTATTAACATTCTATACATTTATGCATATCCTTAATTATAGTTATAACATTGATGTAATTGTTGCCAAATTCACGAAGTTTCATTCGTTTTCGGTAGTGTATTTCCGTCAAAACGATATTAATTAACGCTGTTTTCTTCAGGGTGACTCTGGTGGGCCACTGGTTGTGAAGGGCGCGCAAGTTGGAATCGTTTCGTATGGCATTGCGTGCGCTAAGGGTGTACCGGACGTGTACACCAGAGTATTCTCGTACAAAGACTGGATAAAAATGCATACGAACATACGCTGGGACACAGGAAGTGGGACCATCCCGTTTTCAAGAACGTGGATCCCGATACTGCTCGCTACACTGGCATACGTGACTTTAGTTATATAACAAAAAAAAAACAAACGGAAACAAAGATATCTCGTTTTATCGCACGTCAACTGTAAAAGTAAGAAGGTACGTGTGAACTGTTGGTTCAATTGAACAATTTTCTTAACTCTTCCGCTGCGACTGGCGATTGTGGGCGTTTCGAAATTTTGTTGAGATTTCGTTTTTTTTACTCGTAGGTAGTTGTAAGCGAAAAGTGACCAGTGAATATCGTTGTTTAATTTAATTTGATAGTAATAGTCGTTTGATAAATTGCTGGTTATTGTAAACTGTGAATTCTTATGGATTGAACGAGAGAATAGTTAATTCGATCTGTTGATAAAATAGGAAAGACTGAATGTTGATGTCAGCACTACTTAATGGATGTGATAATTAATATAGTGCATAGAGTTCTATTTTCTAGAACTACTTAACTGTCTTTACATAGTTAAAATATTTATTACTTTGCGTATCACTTTTACAACGAATTTCTTTATAATTGTGGCTTATAAATGTAAGTCTAAGGTGAATGTTTCCTAAAAAAGTCACTAGAAAATGTTGGACGTTTTCAATCTGATAAATAATGACAATACTGAGCGTATAAATGACTATGCTAATATTCCATGTAACTACCGAATTTACATAACATCTAAAAACTTCTAGTAATATAAAATACTTAACTAGTTTAAATAACAATAGCACTTGCGTGTTATTTTTCTGAATGATCCTCTAATTACATCGAGCAATATATTAAAGTTCGCGATTAATTTTGAATTAAACGTTAATTTGTGCTTGTTGAACAATATTTTACATTTAACAATTACCTGGATTTATCGCGTGGAACCTAAAAATAACGTACCCATTATTCGGAATGGCGATAGTGTCTTTGCGAGGAGAAGCAGCGAAGTTCCTTCGTATCGTATTATTTGAGTCGGGTTAAACCTTAATACACTCTGGCTCTGGTGTCTAGATACACAATGTTCCAATCAGCCGAGGTCCTCCGAATATATACATATGGTCTCTCATCAAAACTCCCTCGATTATCCCTGTCTACCACACGATCAAAGGGAAATAATGAGGTTCCTACGGGTGCCCTTGAGAATCTCTCTCTGTCTCCGACATCGATCCATACAGCTCCCTCAGAGGCGATTGGAAACCTTAAGGATCTCTCTCGAAGTCCCTGTAGAGATTTCTTAGGGCACTACGAGGATTCCGAAGGCACCCCTTCAATGACCTCTGGAACATCCTTGGGACTACCTAGAACGCCTTTGCGAATCGTTGACGCTCCCTCAAAGTCCCTTAGGAGATGCTTGGGGCCCTCTCGAAGGCCTTTAGGAAATCCTTGGCAATCCCTTAAAGGTCCTTGGAAGACTCTTGGGGTACCCTCAAAGGCCTCTGGAAGATTCTTGGGACTACCTAGAATGTCTTTGGGAATCTTTGACGTCCCCTCGAAGTCCCTTGGGAGATTCTTAGAGTAATCTCGAAGGTACTTCGGACTCTAAACTATTCTTATTATTTTATGGCCATTATGATAAAGAATGTTACTTATTTTTTATATTCGTGCACAAACAGTTCATTTAAATTTTTATTATTTCTGGAATAATATGAACAGAGACGAAACGATATTAACAGTATTAGAAGGTAAATTATAATATTAAAGGCATTTAGTTTCTTTTTCACTTATTTATTGAACAACAGGGTTCGAACACATTTGTGACTTTTCTTGTATTATTTGCTCAGCATGATACACTTTCCAACAAATAAGGTAATCTCTAGTTATTTTAAATAAAGGGTAGTAGTTGATGAGAAGAAGTAATGTTATCGATAACACTTGATACCAATCATTTGAACGTAGTAAAATAAACAATTGTGCACCAACAAGTAGCAACTGTAGCCCCAACAATGAACAGAGTAGCATTGTGGGATTGTTGAATAAAGCCTATATAATGAAAATAAATGAAAATCATACATGTATGCCAAAATATAATCATTTCTAGAGTATTATTAATGTTTATATAACATACATAAAATCTGTAGTGATTTGAATTCCCAGGTTCTGCCACTGTACACAAACCCTCTGAACGATAAGTTTCCTTATTGTGTCTCACTATTGAACCATGAGGCCACAAGACTGAATCGTTCCATGTTTGCGCGTATGTATGATTGTTACGATTCTCAATTTTAACCCATCGGCCTAGATGCAACGCTGCTCTGTGTAATACATCACAGTACCTAAATAATTAGGGTATTCATCAGTTTTCTGCAAACGAAGTTTATAATGCAACATTCGCATATCAAGACAATGAAATAATAATGCAATTCAATAAACATAGAAACACATTCCGATCCAAAACATAATGACATGTTGCACAACCCATGAAACATTAAAATGTAAATGTTGAGGTACAAATATGATAGGCGCAATACCACATATATAAGCACTACTAGAGGATGCAAATAAAGCTCGTTTCAGACGGCGATTGAAATCAGACCTCAAAGTTGAAACTTCTGCTCTGATCGCAGATGCATTTAATGAGCAATTGTGTAATGGTTTATCTGTATAAGTAAATATTGTAAGTTGAAAATATAACAGAAAATTGTAATTGAAAATAGATGCTACAAACCTAACAGATATTTTGTTTTTTTGTCATCTTTACTAGATAAAGTTGCTGTTGATATATCAAAGAAAGGGGCTACACTCATACCGAACATTACAAAATACACAGATAAACTTCTGAAACAAAGTAGGTAACATAAAAAAGACTTCTGCATTTACTTTATTTAATAACACATGTAGATAATATACGTACGGATAACACAGGTAAAAAATTTTCATAGAATTATGTCTTTCAGCCATATGATACAGACACCAGCACAATATACTCATCACAATAATTAAAAGAATTATCCTGAAAAATAATAATCAATGTATTTTGAATCGCATGTACATAATTACCTTAATAAAAAGAAAATGCTACCTCATAATTTTTTGAGCTGCAGACAACCAATGAACTGGTGATGAGATGTCAATAAATTGGCGTAATAGGGAATAAATAAATTGTCTTGCTATCATAGTCACGATAAATATAAGTAAATAAGGATCTATTAAATAAAAATTCTGAAAAAGTGTAAAATTGATTAATATGTAACAATAACGTGTAGAAGATTCATATAATGTATTGGATAATACACACCATACTATAATTGTTATAAGAATGAGGTAACCACCAGACGGTTCTATATAAATTAAGCATTTGTAATGAAGCTGCAATAATTGACACAATTAAAGATAATGTTTCAAATGTTAAATGACCATCGACAGGTACAATTGGTATAGGTACATGTTTTGGTACTAATGTTTTTATCCCACAAAAGTCCTCTGACTTTTTATCATCCCCACCGCTTCCAGCTATTCTTTCTCCACTATTACTTCTTATAGCTGTATTTGTACTTCCAGAAAAGCCAGTCTGAGATTTAGTTTGACCATTTCTACTAGCAGCATTGCGTCTTCCACTAGGCATAGTGTCCAAGTTTACATTTCAGATGTACATACCCTTCCAGGAAAGACTGCCTTTATTTAATAATAAGAGGTTTCTTATTATTAATTTCATTTATCCTTACTTTGGTAAGTGACTCTTCTGTGCACACACGCCACAAGTTTAATGGGGGTACAGTAGAAACAAACTCCCTTTAAACATAGATTTTTGTACAGCTATTTAAAACATAACACACAAAATTTTTAATACATGGAATAGAATAATTTTTGTCTTTTCAATGAATATATATATGCTTTCGAGCAGCTGCACTTAATAACGCTCCGCAAACATTGAGAAAATATTATGGATTTCATTGAAAAAAGTATGGTATTAAACTTGTCATGATCATGATCAATTCTTTTTTTATGCAATAACAATAACATTAAGTACATTTATCGCTCTATTTAGAATGTTTGGTTTTATTTAACCACGATTGAAATGTTTACATTGATTAGCGTGTATGTGAAATTGTCTAGCAGCCATCTATCGATTAATGACTTGAATTACACAAATCGCGGAAAATATGAAATCCAGCATAAAAACTATCATACCACCACCGACCAGGTATAGGATAGACCTATCATCTTATGGGATTTCGTGTCTCATGTTCTGAAATACCGATAGTGTAACACGTCAGGGATTTTCTGCTGCCCTCTACGTTATGAGAACGGTGAATTTGTGAACTACGTTAAATCTAAGAAGGGACCAGTCTCCCCCCTTAATGTGAACCAATGATACATGAATAATACAGATCTGTAGTTATGGCCGATGTCTACAACGTTCGTTGGCAATACTGTGCGCAAATACTTGCGGATGTTTTTGGTGAATTTTCGTAAATATTGGCACGACAGAGCTTCCATTTTGAAAAGCGAAGCTACTCGAAAAGCACGTTAAACTGCTCTTCACATACTATTCGCACGAACGCGTCCGTGTTGTGCGTCTTTTCCGGTGGCATCGTTTTTTAAGTGTATTTTTACAAAGTATTGTGGCGCGTAATTGTGCTAAACAAAACAGAAAATGCAAGGAACTATCATAGAAAATTTAAGCGGTAGAAAACTTTCGGTGCTTGTAATACTGTTGATTGTCGCGCAAATTGTTTGTTTTCTAATAGGCGGGCTCATTGGTAAGTTGGGAAATGTCAATCATTTTGAAATAGCTATAATTCTCGAACAGTCACCAATGTTAATAACTTTTAAATTCCAAACTGATATAAACTGGTAAAACCTTATTTAATCACATAATTTCTGTATTTATCTTTTTTTAATTAAGTAAACTGTATATATTTCTTTCAACATTTTTTTTAACTTAGTAGTTAAATTTCGAATTAAAAAACAAGCCATATTTTCAAATCAAATTATACTGTTGCTTCTTTTGTCATTCATAAATATATAGTTATTGTAATATCAGAACACTTAAAGTTCCATAAAGTTTGCCTTCCATTCTTAGTTTAATGCTATTGTTAATAAAGACAATGATTTTGTATTTTTTCCCACTTTTATAACTTTGTAGTTTTTACTTATAGAAGGATTAATTGTACAAGAATATTTACAGTATACTCTTTGTTCACCTTGCTTACACGGAATTATATAATTTATATATTTCTTTGTTCAGCTCCAACACCTGCTAGTAGTCAAAATATACTTGGTACACCTTGCAAGGATATTCGTGTGAATGGATCTGAACCTGGAGGAGGAAAATGGTTTTATTCACGGGGAAAAGGATCTTGTACTCCTGTTGATATGAACCATTTTACTTTTGATGGTCATCATCAAGCATACCAAGTTGTATATACATTTCAAGTAGGTTTACTTGAAATTCATTATTTTAAAGGAAACATGTAACTTATAAGTTTAAAATATCTTTTATTTTCCATAGATGCCTGTTCCAAGAAACAGTATGCAACTTGATTATTCTAGATGGCAGCAAAATTTAATAGGTGTTTTACAAGTAGATATTGGCTATCATAGCCAGATAGAAATTGGTAATTAAGCAGTTATAATTTTATAAGTACAATGTCCTTTATTAATTGTGTTTAGTTCAATGTTTGTGTAATTGATCATCAGCCCCATGCAATAATACCTTCAATGTTTTGATTAATTATACGTATTCTGTTTTAATTTTATTAGCTCCCAGAACTAAGATAACATTGGATGCAAGACTTGCATATAGAAACAAAGGAGATCCCGATGATGCTTGGAAACATTATGCTGCTTCTGTAGTAGAAAGAATGTTGGACTGTAGTATAGATGATGTAAATATAAAAAAATAAGTGTATTTACTTCAAATATGGTAAATATACATTCCTTATTACTACATGTAAATTTTTCAGGCATTGGAACACTATAATTATAATTGCAGTGTTGACACTGATAGAAACATCAATCAGGGTCTGGGACATATTACTGATTTGTGGCTTACTGTAAATACATAATATATCGAAATATAGTTCCTGTAGGATTGTGAAATAAGAAGTAGCAAACTGATATTATTACTTTTCACAATTTAGGCTATTAACCAGAATGGTGGATTTACGAAGGTGTGGGTAAGTTTGAAGACTATTTATTTTCCAATTGTCATATGCATTCTTGCTTGGTATTGGAGAAGAGTACACATGCTTTCAAGATCTCCGGCTCTTCTGGAATATTTACTGTTGGCACTGGGCATAGCACTATCATTTCTAAATAGTATGTTGTATACTTGATATATCTATGAGGTTAATGGCATATAGCAGTGTTTAATTATTTCTTTTGAATTGTAGTGCCTTTGGAGTATTTAACACTGGCCTATGACATGCCATTTATGCTTTTATTAGGTGATATCAGACAAGGAGTATTCTATGCCATTCTTTTGTCTTTCTGGCTTGTGTTTGCTGGAGAACATCTTATGGTAAGAATTTAGGATAGGCGTGAAAAATGAACCTTGATTTAATATAATATACTAATGGCACATATTTCCCTTACATATTATCCGTTGCACCTACAGATACAGGTGAGCTAATTCTGTTATGGTTTTTTTTACTGTTTTTCGATACCATTCTGTAACTAATTATAATTATTAATCAGGAGGGTGAACAAAGAAACTCCTTAAAATGTTACTGGCGTCATCTTTCTGCAGTAGGCACGGGATGTTTATCATTATTTGTATTCGACATGTGTGAACGTGGCGTGCAATTACGAAATCCATTCTACTCGATTTGGGTTACAGATCTTGGAACTAAATTTGCTGTATCCTTTCAGAATGGAAAGAGGATTGTCACCTTATTATTGTAAAATATCCGATTCCTTGACTTAAAAAAAAACAGCTAGCATTTATAATTTTAGCTGGTGTGTCTGCTGGTATATATTTAATATTCTTATCTTACATGATATGGAAAGTATTTATGAATATTAGTGCAAAAAGGGCTGCATTGCCTAGCATGAGTTCTGCAAGACGTTTACATTATGAAGGTGTAATATACCGATTTAAATTTTTGATGATAGCAACATTGTTGTGTGCGTCTTTGACAGTTATTGGATTTATACTAGGCCAAGTACGTATACAACAATTAGATTTGTACAAATTAAGTTTTGAATATCATTGAATTTAATTTCAATAATATGCAATATAGGTTGCAGAAGGTCAATGGAAATGGGACGAAGAATTACACATAGAAATGACATCGGCATTTTTCACTGGAGTATACGGTATGTGGAATATTTATATCATAGCATTATTATGCTTGTATGCTCCTTCCCATAAGCAGTGGCCCATCGAACCATCTGGTAAGTATGGAAGTTATTCTTTATGTATGTTACATCTTATAATACTCTTCTATTTATTCTTTATTTTTTTGTCTTTCAGAAAATAGTATTAGTGAAGAAATTGAATTTTCACGTTTATCGACTGATCCCAATGAAATGCTGTCTCTGACTGCATTCGCACGAAAAACAGCCGTAGAATAAATAACATATACATTTTACAGAAAAACACTAGAAGAACGGCAAACAACCAGTCAGAACTTTTGTACTTAATCACGTCGAACTATAAGTATGGTTAAATTGCATTTTCTCGATATTTATAGAAGACGTATTGACTGATAATACTCTAATAAGTAATCCTTTCATGCCAAAATTAATTATTTATTAGAATCAGTATTTGTTAAGCATCGTTCACTTTTTAAATAATACCATGTAGTATCTAATGTGCGATTTGTTACGAAAGTATTTAACTAAATGTTTAGTGTTTTACAAACAAAGTGAATCTAAAAGTCATCTGTAGTTCTATCATTAACTTACATACGTAACTATGATAGGGTAACACGTGGTACGCATGTTTCATGGGACATTCCACCTTAGATTTAATCGGTATCCTTTGAATAACATTCTGTTACACATTCTGACATTGGATAGCCATAATACAATTGCCATAATTCAATAATAATCCTTAATGCAGTAAACAATCTTATCAAATGTATTTTCTTTAAAGATAGGTAATCTGTTCCGTCGTTTTGCATACATATCAACATTGGGCGTTTATTCGCATTCCATCATTTTTATGAATACCACCACGTATATCTAATATTCATTCATTCTGTCTTACTATTATATGAGAGATACTTTCTGGCAGGATTAAGTTTTTTAGTACACTTTTTAATCATATATGCATTACTAAAAAAATGTCTGTAAGCCTTCATACATTTTTAATGACGTTTTAGCATCTAGGACATGCATGCAGCAAAGTAGAACTAAAAGAAGAAAGGTGCAATAAACTCTTAACATGCTAATAGAAAATCTAGTGCACATTAGCTACTTACGTAGAGTACTTATACATTTTTAAAGTAACAGGACTAGTATTTTCTATACTTCCTAATCTATGTAATGAGATATGTCAACGAATAGTAATTTTGAGGGAATATTTTGTATTGTACAATTAATTGTTCTATTTTCTTAATGATTTTAGAAATGTGACAGGTTCAGTGCATCAATACTATGAAAGATTCATATTTTTATGCGTACTTATATTACAAAATTTCCAAATTTTTTTTTAAAATCAAACGAAACTTTTTATATTCACGATTTTTATACATTTTTTAAAATAAATAAATTTGTTAGAACTGCTTTGTTACGTTACTAAGCACATATCGTGCAGTTAAAAGTTCCAAATAACAACCCCTTTTCTTATATTTATTTCAGTCTATACTTCCATAATTACTCATTTTCGTCACTGGTGGCGGAAGTGTCGTTGAAACCATCTACATAAAGTGTATATTTAACGTACACACGGTATGTTGAGAATAAGAGGTCATCTTGTGCGTGTCGTATAATTACGTCTTTTGTTTCAACGTTCTTAAATGCTACGCAAAACGTAAACTATATGAAACTGTCTTGACAAGTAACTTAATTTTCACTAAACCATACTCGTGGTTTATTTAATTCAAAGGAATAATTGCTGTGCAACAAAATTGTTTTTGTATTATATGCAGTGCTCGTGTTCATGCAGTTTCTCTTAACATGTGTTGAAGGGTTAGTTCCTAATGTCAGGAATTTCAAAACTCAGCAATTATTGGACTTCACACTGTCGATTCAAAAAGGTATTTATACTTCATTTACGAATATTTTATATATTTTTTGTGTTTTCATACCAGATATACGTCAATAAATGTAATTTAAATTCAAATTCCACGATACATATACTACGTCATCAATACGGTTATTTTTCAGCGCTACCATGAACTAGTGATTTCCTCGAACATTATTTTCGTTCTGATTGCAATCTTCACGAATTTAAATTTGAGTTTACGTATAATCATTATTCTTTACTCATTATAAGTTAGCATATGAGTTTTAAATTATCATTACTATTTAAATTGATTCTTACAGGCGGTTATACAACTATGTATCAAGTGTGCCTTTTAGTTTGTAACAGTATAATCTTGATTTAATATTAGATACAAAGTGTTTTTATCCCATCAAACACAATAAAATTTGGTTTTCTTGCGCAACTAAAATCTGAAATAAATCTGATGTAATACTATTGAATATTCTGTTTACAAATATTAGTATGAGTTTCTTGATGATGGAATTTGAATTTATAGCTACATTTAAATAGAAGAGAGGGGAGAGGAAAGAAATAAAGTAGGCTCTCGATAGCAGCTCGGCCTATTCTATAGCATAACGGAATAACAATTGTTTCTAGTAGCATTTTATAATTAATATTTAATTCTTTCAATAAAGTGGGTGAACAAAAGAGCCTGATAACACCATCTAGCGACAAAGGAGCTGATAGTAATTGACGAGTAGGTTCAGCATTTTGCCGTAGATGACGTAATATGTGTTCTGAATCGCATTTATCATTACGTATCAAAAAATGAAACATTAATTGGAAACGTCATAAGTAGTAATTCTTAATGCACTATATCGATAAAGGGAATTCAACGAACAATATGACACTATTGAAAAACATTTAATCGCAACTTGTGAGGTATCCTGTATTTTAAAAAATGCATTATACACCATTGAACATCGTGGCATAAGAAAGAACTATCATTTTGGTTGGTGATTCTCGGATTGTTAAGAGTGGAGTAGGCAACTGTGCATTTATTTTAAACGTTGATGTGCACATCCTCCACTACAATAGCAGTTCATTAACTGACCTAGGGACAGAACTGCAATCGAGAATCTACTATAGCATTGGCTCTGGGATCCTAGTGACATTGGGTCGCGCTCGAGAAGTCGGTAGTCGGTAGCAGGGATTTTGTATTGTGCGCGCGCATCCTCTGGCACAACGTGAGAGACAGAGGTAGCAGCAGCAGCAGCAGCAGCAGCGAGCAAGAGAGCAGTCTAGAAACGGAATCAGATGTGGTGAAGTCCGTGAGTTGACAGGTCGTGGGGTGCACGAGAACAGGCGTTTCGAAGTGGCGGAGGCGGCGGAGGTTCAGGGGAAAGGATTGTTTTCTGTGTGCGCGAGAAACGTGTCGCGACAGTAACGAGTCTTTCGAACGGGGATCGTCGTTGGCGATGATGAAATGATCATCTAGCCCGAGGATTTTCGCTTGGTCCGTACGGACAAAGAAAACGGCCGTTTGTATATCGTTGCTGTCCGAGGGACCGTGCGATCGTTCATCCGTAGAAAACATCGGTGCACGCTGACGTCGTGGAATTATTCGTCTCTCGTTGTCGTTTCCCTTCGTGGCCGAGAGCATCGAAGAGCCAACGACTGACTGGCGAGCGTCGCGCGCGCGTGTCTTTGTTTTTTTCTCCCTTTGCCTTCTCGGTGCTGAATAACTGGTCAGTTGCGGGAAATCGAGAGTGTGTTGTACAAGAGTGGTGAAAGACTTTCAGTTATTCGTGGATCCTGCGGTGGTAAACAATCCGTAAGCAGTCAGAGGCCCTTCCTGAGGCGGACGATCGAGCTCAGCTGATTCAAGGACTTGCTGCGAAGGGCTCTGCTGCGATTAATAGGCGATAAATATGTCGTCCCCCAGCGCTGGAAAACGACGTATGGACACGGACGTTCTCAAATTGTATCCTTGAAATTCACTTTTATTTCTCCTACTCGCTATTTGTGTCTCTTGTCTTCTCTTTTTTTTCTTTCTTCCCCTTCACCCCGTTACCCTTCTCTTGACATCATCGCTGCTCCCCCTCCACCCGTCTCACCTAGCTCTCCCTCTCCGGCTCCCTGGTTCTCGCTCTTTCTTTCTCTTTCGCTCTATCGCACGTGCTTGCAATCGTGTGCAAGAGAGATCTGCACATGGTTGCGAATGCAACAAGACTACGTAGTACGTGTGCGTGCGTTAGACGGCAGAATTGTCTGTCGTTTGTGTATCAGGTATACGATTGGTATATAGGTCGGTAGGGACCAACACCGTGCAATGTCAACGGTGTATCGTGACGACCACGGATATTTAATTTCTCGTTTCGTCGATGACGGGACACACAGCTGTTTTTAACCAGCTGACTCTACATCCGTTCGTTTGTGCGCAGCTTTATCTCGGTTCGTTAACGCGCAGGTTCTCGGGGTTACCATTTCATTTTTTATTCTCTTATTTGCATCGCCGCGTTGTGTTTTCTGTTCTCCATACGACAGGCCTTCGATTTTCGTGAGGGGCCTCGCGTGTTATCATCGAATACATTCCGGTTTTAAAAGTCTCTCTCACAGACGGCCGTAAATATATGTACAAGATCGCGCGTCAAAGGAACGCCGGGCCGTACATGCACGGGTTTGAAACTGAGGCGAAGCGCAACGAACTGTAATTGAGACGTCATTGGCATGTTTCGAGCTGAACCGAATGTTTTGGGAATTACGCAAAGTGAGAAAACGTTTTGCGTTGTATGATCGGTAGTTTGTTCGAACGAAGTTTCAAATAAATATCTCCGAGCAAATTCTTATTCTATTAATTTTCGAATAACCAATCATTTTTTATCGAGTGAACATTTAGCCGAATAAATTGAATGTCGTGTCTATCTAGCAAAACATAAACAGTCCCGTCATCGATATCGGAACCGCTATGTCGTGAAGTGTTTTCCTTACCACCTGACTCCCAGTCTATCACCTGTAGATGTGAAGCGACGGAATCGATTAGTTTTCAAATTTATTCGCACCTAGTGAATAACGCGCAACGAATGAAATCATATACGAGTAAATCTGATTCAAATACCATTAGAAACTTGTACGTGATTAACGAATAATTTTTCGTTAGGGTTTATCCGGTATTTGCAATAAAATGTGTTCAACTCTACAAAACGTGTTCGCGAATGAATGTAAAAATAAAAACGGATAACGGTTGCCCGTGGCCTCCACTGATATAAATGCGACGCAATCGATACTTTCTTCGCGAAAAACATCATTATCGCCAATAAATCGCGTGACAACGCTAGTGACTAATTATTTCCGCTCCCTTTGCGTACGCTGACCATTCGAGTCAGGTGCAAAGAACAAAGGTAAACCTCTGCGAAGAAAAACTAATCTTTTTGTCATCTTTTTTGCACGAATATATTAACAAATTTATTATTATAGTATTTTCGATGTAACACGTGCTTGGCCAAAGATTCTGTTTACAGTTTGGTATGCACCACTTACACGAAGAAATTGAAAATTACCAGTAACCATATTTCAGGAATGATTGATTACATTATACATCATCTAACTTACAATTAATTGAAAATTGTCTCTTGATCGAACAACATATTATACTTTTTTCATTCATATAGTACAAGTACGTAAGCAGCGCTCTTTCATGTACAAAATGAACCTTTCAAAGTTCACTCAATTGACTAATTCATACAAATTTCAATAATAATGTATCTCAAACTATTTTAACACGTTTACTGCCGCAGAGTTTTCGTACATTTCAGCCACATCGTCGAAGTGACATTTTTGTTACACAGAGTGTACAAGAATAAAATGTTATATAAAATTATTAAAGTCAACTATGTTATCATACTTTTGGCATTTAGTTTTTAGAAGTTTACCGATTTATGGTCCAATATTAACAATATCAAAAAGTATACTCCCTAGAGTGACGGTCACCGGTGACCCTCACGGTAGTCAACGTGTTAATTACAAACAGCACACTGTTTGGAAGTACACGATGCATAGGGCCACTGCAAAAGTCTACCGAATTTAACGAGTATCATGTGCAAAAAGTTAAATAGTCTTTATAAAATTATACACAAAATTAAACAAATTATATTCCTCTCGATTTTCAACAAATTCCAACGAAACCTGTACAATGATCTAATAACACAATTTATTCCGGGGGGTAGTGGGTGGGCGATTCTTTTAAGGGTTCAAGTTTGTACACAAAACGCAACCTAACCTCAACACAACGTGTAAACAATGGAAGAAGTGTAATGTATGTATACACACACACATATTGTTGACCTCGATTCGCGAGAAATTGATTTTTGCGTAACGTAACGTCGCGTTTCACTTATTAATTCTGTACAGTGGCCTCCGGGTGCCCGTGTGCGTCAGGTTCTTTTTTCTAGGCACGGTGATGGTTTCAGCACAGCGACGGCGAGCCCTTCCGTGCCCCGAACCATCGATCAGTCTTTGTTGAGGCTCACATTAAATTTGCAAGCGGTTCGACGAGCAAAGTGAATTGGACGCGTTCGTTCGTTCCCCGCGTGCGCTCCTTTTGACAGGCGGTCCTCGGTTACTTTTCCCGTTTTTCGAAAGCCTTTCCCGAATGGAACGGAACCCCAACAACAGGGACCCTCCTCCGTACGCGCAACGTTCGCGATATCTAATCTATTTTCGGGTGGTGGGCCTTCTTTGCATACTCGTTCCTTATAAATCCAGAATCTTCTAACGGTCGCGATTCCGTTTTACAGGAATTTCGTTCGATTCTGATTTTTTGCATATGTTTTTAGATATCTGCAACCGTGTTTTTGTTTCTTCTGTGCAGCGCGTATTATGCACAGATGTAATATACGGGGTGTCTGAAAATTTTTGATGCTGTCTTAACTTTCGAGTACATATTTTTTTTTAGTAGAAATGTGAGATCTAATTGCAACGATAGGAACGATTAGGGAGGTGAAGTTATTAATATTTGTGTTAATGGGACGAGGATTGCGGTATGATAAAGTGTGATAAGTATGATAAATGTGAAAATCGAATGGATCCATTAGGTTGGTGGGAGATTAGTGATTGGTCACCATTCATGTCTGTAGTATTATAATTCTGTATAATTCTTCTATGTTATGATTGAGTATATCCTTAATTTTATTAGAGAATTCCCTTTAATTTTTCAAAGTTAAATCTTAATTGCTTATGTATATTAAAAATATTTAAATTATAAATTATTTTAGCGAAATAATTTCAGTTATATTGAGATATTCAAGCAGGCTATATTTTTCAACATACCGATTGTGTCAATCGCACAAAATTTTTGTAATTATTCTTCGATTCTTTCATTCTTTCGATGGCTTCGAACAGATTGAATTTTCTGGAACTTTTTAATGAAACGCTTCTTTGGCTGCTCGAATAGTTCAAACGCAGCAAATACGTACTCGCAACGGACCTCAAGCATTTTAACGTCCTACTCACTCAACGTTTTCTCAAGTAGTCAAACCGCTCCAAAATAAATTACTGACGACTTGTCGGGATTAGCTCGTGTCCGACACCGTCGCTAGCATTAAGGGGTGAACTGGTTAAGCAGAGCTCGTAAAAACGAGCAGATAAACCTTCATAAACGGACACTCTAAAATTATCCATTCGGCGGATGGAAAAGATCTTTTCCGTGAAAAACTAGTATCTGGTAAAATAAATATTTACGCGACGTGAGCCCTTTCTTTAGGCAGGATCTCGACTGTGTAGTTTCACATTTCAGTTTAAGTTGAGAACAAGTCTGAAAGAGTCAAATTGACGAGCTATACATTTTTTGTTTTATATTTAGTGGGATCGTAACGGTGCTTTCGTCGGAATTTGTGTTGACCGTTAATAATTTTACATATTTTACATTATACTACGTTATATTGTAATTAGTGACGGGCTCTGAAGCATTTCAAATTGCTTTGAATACGTACATTTGATGAAAACTTCGAATCATTTCGAACATGATTCGATACTTAAAACTGTTGAGAGTCTTGATTATTTTTGAGTTTTGAGTATTTATTAGTCTTGTGTATTGATTAGTCTTGAGCATTTACTGATTCGATAGGTCCTGAAGGTCTTCAAAGATTTGATAGATCCTGAAAGCATTTTGAATGTTTTTGTACGATACCGCATATGTACTCACTAAGCTTTTAAGATGTATCAAAGCATTCAAGACTTTTAGGGCTTAGGTAATCTTTAACGACGTAAGATTAATCAGTACTCAAGATTCAAGAGTTTCAAGTATTGAATCATATTTAAACTAATTCAAATTTTTACAGCATTGAAAAACTTTGAATCGCCTCGGAACTAAGATTTAAACGCCCCTCATTAATTATAACGTATTATACATATTAATATACTATATAATTCAATTCAGTATAACACTGTTAAAACAAAGTGCAGATTGTTATTCGATTTCACATCATCATCCAATTTACTTCTTTTTTCAAATTGGTGTTACACATATTAATGTATTAAACAATTGAATTTAGTATACATTCAACGCTGTTAGGTCCACTGTTAAAACGAAGTGTAGATTGTTGCTCGATTTCAACTCATTATCCAGCTTTTCTTGTTTTTTTACATTGCTATCCGTTTTCAAAAGAAGAATTTAGCAATGGAAAATGCAAACCTGGGATTCGTATCGTGTTATTCTGCGATTTCCGTTGATACCGAGGAGTGAAAGTCCCAGACGCGTTAGCATAATCCACACTGGCAATCGGCGGTAACTAATTCGACGAGAGCGCCGGGCGGCTTTATCGTTTCTTTCATCAGCCCGAGAATATTCCTCCGTTTGTTCCGCGATGCACCGGGAGCCGGTCGAAAGCCTTGGTGTTCTAGTCGCCTCGGAGTTATTTCGTAAACGCGAATATCGGGGAAACTACGGTCGATTCGCGTACAAACCTCTGACTCAAACCACCACCA